AAGACATTGTTGAAAGAAATAAAAGACACAAATACATGGAAAGAGAGTCTGTGCGTATGGATTGGAAGAACTATTGTTAAAATGTTCATACTGCCCAGGGCAATATGCAGATTCAGTGTAATCCCTATCAAAATTCCAATCACATTTTTCACAGAAGTAGAACAGACAATCTTGATATTTGTGTGGAGCCACAAAAGACCCCGAATAAACAAAGCAACCTTGAGAAAGAACAAAGCTGGAGGTATCACACCACCTGATATCAAACTATATTACATAGCTATCAAAACAGTGTGGTATTGTCATAAAAACAGACACATACATAAATGGAACAGAACAGAGAGCCCAGAAATAAACCCACATATATAGTCAGTTAATTTATGACAGAAGAGCCAAGAATTTACAGTGGGGAAAGGACAGTCTTCAATAGATGGTGTTGGGAAAACTGCACAGCCACATGCAAAAGAATGAAACTGGACCAGTACCTTACCCTATACAGAAAAATGAACTCAAAATGGATTAAAGACTTGAACTTAAGACCTGGAACCATAGAACTCCTAAAAGAAAACATAGGGGATAAGCTCCTTGACATTGGTCTTGGCAATGATTTTTTAGATTTGACAAGAAAAGCAGAGGCAACTAAAGCAAAAATAAACAAGTGGGACGACATCAAATTAAAAAGCTTCTGTACAGCAAAGGAATAATCAGCAAAATGAAAAGACAACCTACTGACTGGGAGAAAATATTTCCATATCATATCTCATAAGGGGTTAATATCCAAAATATATAAAGAACTCATACAACTGAATAGCAAAATAAATAAATAAAACAATTTGATTTAAAAAATGGGCAGAAAATCTGAATAAACATTTTTCCAAAGAAGATATACAAATGGATGACAGGTACATGAAAAGATGGTCCACATCAGTAATTATCAAGGAAATGCAAAAATATAAACCACAATGAGCTACATCACCTCACACCTGTTAGAATAGCTCTTATAAAAAAAGACAAGAGATAACAAATGCTGGTGAGGATGTGGAGAACAGGGAACCCTTGTGCATAATTGTTGGGAGTGTAAATTGGTGTACCCACTATGGAAAAGTGTGGAGGTTCCCTTCAAAATTGAAAATAGAACTATTATCTAACAGTTCCACTCTGGTTATTTATCCAAAGAAAAGGAAAACAATAACTTGAAAAGATATATGTACCCCATGTTCACTGTAACATTACTTACAGTAGCCAAGATATGGAAACAGCCTAAATGTCCATGACACATGAATGGATAAAAAAAGTGTGTGTGTGTGTGTGTGTGTGTGTGTGTGTGTGTGTGTGTAAAATGGAATATTATTCAGCCATAAAAAAAATTTTAAAAAAGAGAAACAATTTGTAGTTGCCAGAGGTGGGGAATAGGGGGTAAAGGGAGTCAAAACTTCCAGTTATAAAATAAGTCATGGGGTTATAATGTACAGCATGGCAACTATAGCTAATAATATTGCATTGTATATTTGAAAGTTGCTAAGCGAGTACATCTAAACATTCACATCAAAAGAAAAAATATCGTGTAACTGTATGGTGATAATGTTAACTAGACTTATTGTGGTGATCATTGCACAATATATACAGATATCAAGTTATTATTTAAAAAGGGTTAGCAAATTAGGAATAGATGTAAACATCCTCATTCTACAGAAAAAACTAGGGCCAGCAATTTTCCTTAATTAAATATTGAAAGTTTCCTCCATAAGATTGGGAACAAAGCAGGATATTCGCTTTCACTGTTTTATTTAAGTAATAGATATCCTGACCAGTAAAATAAGTCAAGGAAAAAAAAAAGAAACATAAAAGATTGCAAATAAAGAAGTTAAACAGTCCTTATTTGCAGATGACATGATTATTTACATACAAAGTTCTTAAATATCTACAAGAAAGCTACTATGTCAAAGAAATGGATATAGTGGCATCACAAAATACAAAGTCAATATACAAAAATTAATTGTATTTCTACACTATAAGCAATAAACAACTGGAAAATGAAATTTTTCAAAATTCCTTTTATGAGTATACCAACAAGCCTAAAATAACCCTAGAAATGAACTTTATTAAAAATATACAAGATCTCAACGTTGAAAACTACAAAAACATAGCTGGAAGAAATTTTAAAAGCTAGAAATAAAGATATTTTCATCATTTGGAAAACTCAATATTATTACAATGTTTATTTTCCCAAATATGATCTATAGATTTAACACAATCCCAGTCAAAATCCTAACTGGCGTTTTTGTATAAATTGACCAGTTCTTTCTAAAATTTGTATGGAAAAGCAAAGAACTTATAACAGCCATAATAATCATAAAAAAGGACAAAGTTGAGGAACTTACACTATCAGATTTTAAAACTAAAGGGGAAAAAATTAATTACTTACTAATTGCAAAAGGAATCACAAAACCTTTTCAGTGGCAAAATCTGGTGTCCACTGGTAAAACATTATTCTTAATGTTGCTGTGAAGATGTTTTTTGGGGTAAGATTAACTTTTAAACAAGAGGACTTTGAATGAAGCAGATTACCCTCCATAATGTGGGGAGACCTCATCTGATCAGTTCAAGGTTTAATAGATCAAAGACTGACATGTCCTGAGCAAGAAGAAATTCTGGCAGCAAATGACATTTCGTCCCAAATGGTAACTCTTCTCTGGGTCTCCAGCCTCCCAGCCACCCCTACAGATTTTGGACTTAACACGCCTTTTATGGTATGTGTATTTTACCTCAGTCATGTGAACCGGTTCCTTTAAGTAAATAAGTATCTCCCTCCCTCACTCCCATTTCTCTACCACCACCACCACCACCACACACAAACACATCCTGTTGGTTTTGTTTCTCTGGAGAACTGTGACAAATACACCATCGTAAGTAATCAAATTTAGCATCAAAAAGTATGGGTCACACTAATATTACATGGATTCTTGCCCAAAATATTAAACTTAATCCAATCAAATCTTTGTGCGTATACCTGACTTGCAGTTTTCTGGGAATGTAGGAGTTAGAAAAACAAATTAGACTACACCACAATCAGACAAATCCAGAATGTATGCGCTTTCTATGAAACAATTGGCCTGGCACTTTAGTCAACGTCTTTTTAAAAAAGTATTCTACATTAAAAGAGACTAAAGAGACATAACTATGTACAATGAATGTTCATTATAAGTTCCCAATTTGCGGAATAAAAACTTGTAAAAGACATTTAGGGAACAAATATTCATAATATCCAAAAAGTGGAAACAATCCAAATGTCTGTCAGCTCATGAATGGATAAACCAAGTGTGGTATGTCTGTATAATGGAATATTATTCAATCATAAAAAGTAACAACATACTGATGCATGCTACAACATAGATGAACCTCAAAAACATCCTGCTAAATGATGGAAGCCAGTCACAAAAGACTACATAGTATATTATTCTATTTATATAAAATATCCAGAATAAACAAATCCATAGAGGCAGAAAGTAAATGGGTAGCTTATGGGAGGTGGGGTAAGGGTGCAATGGGTATGGATTTCTTTTGGGGTCGATGAAAATAGTCTGTAATTAGACAGTGGTGTTGCTTGCTCAACTTTGTGAATATACACAAAACCACTGAATAATTATTTTAAAGGGATAAATGTTAAGATTTGTGAATATCTTAATAAAGCTGCTATTAAAAAACAAAACAGGGCCGGCCAAGTGTCTCAGTTGGTTAAGACTTGGCTTGGGAAGCACGAGCTGTGAGCAGCAGGGCCACCAGTTCAGTTCCCACATGGGCCAGTGATGCTACGCCCTCTACAGCTTAAGATGGTGAACAACAGCTCAACCTGGAGCTGGGCTGCCGTGAGAGGCCGGCAACGGCGTAGGCTGCAGTGGGCTGCTGTGAGGTACCATGAGTGGCCGGCAGCCAGCCAGAGCTTCCATGAGCCCCTGTGAGTCGCCATGAGCGGCCATCCAGTGGCCTGCGACTGACTACCTCAGCCGGAAGAGCACAATGATCATAATACCAACATGGGCTAGTGAAGCGGCGTCCTCCACAACTAAACTGAAGAACCAAAGGACAGCAACTTGTCTGTTCCCCTTCTCCGATTCCCCAACGCTGTTCCCCTCCTCCAATTCCCCAATAAAAAAATCTTTATCAAAACAAAACAAAATAAAATAGTGGTTAAAATGGCCTCAGTAGTCAAACAAATCTCTTTCCTGCATGGCAGCAAGTACGTGAAAGGAGCATTCTAACTTGCTTGTACGTCGGCTGCCTTTGAGACATCTAGGCAGATCCCTTCCCTAGGGCCTACAAGAATGTCATGACTAAGAGTGCACTAAATATAGATGCTGCAAATCTGAAATCTGTTCTCCACTGGAAAGAAATGATTCCCTTGAATTTGAGACTTAGCAGAACTGAAAGCATCAAAAGAGCAGCTATCTGAACATTTCCAGTAGCAGGTACCATCCACGTGCCAGTCAGGGGAGCATGTGCCACCACAGGTTTAAAAAACGTGCCAGTGGAAATCTCCATCTAACTAAAGATTTCCAAAATCTCAATAATTTAAAGTAATAGTAAATACAATAAAATGCTAGTACAGTTAGAGAAATAGGATAGTCTCTCAGAATTGATTGAAATGGGATATGACCTATATGTTATTGTCTGTAGGTTGAAATTTAGCCAATGTATTAGAGATAGAAAGTAAAGGATAATAGTTCGCAGTGTAGCTAGAGATGAGAGGCAGTACAATGATGATGTGTCCTAGATGAATAGTAAAAATAAAAAATGCTGTAACATTCGAAGTTTATCACTAGTATCCATGTACAGAGCATCTGTTCGAGCATGGCCCCCTCCCAGGTGTGTAGAGGGAAAGACAAAAGGAGAGCCTCTACCTGAAGTCCATTATTGAAAAGTTATTCTAAAACTGCTTCCCATTTAATAATAATTTTATATTCTTAAAAGCCCCAAGTAATGTTTTCTCTTTTTTTCTCTAATAGATACTGTGAGAGAAGTACGGAAATATTCCTCCATTTCTGCTGTTGAACACAGCTCATCCAGCAGACCTGGTGCCCATGAACATACGCAGATGAAACTTTTCAGGTCACAAAGAAACCTTTACATTTCTGGATTCTCATTATTTTTGTGGCTGTAAGTAAGAAACACACACACACACACACACACACACACACACACAATTTAAAAACATAATTTATGTTTCTCTCGTTTTTTAACCTCCATACACTTGATTATTTTTCTATATTATTGAGTATAGTAACATCTTCATAAAATAACTCAGATGATAGACTCATATAACAAGCAATCATTATGGCTATGGATGTGATAGATTCAAAAGCCCTGCATGATCTGGCCCCTGCTTCTCTCTAGAGCCTTGTCGCATGCTGTTCTCTGACATGTACACCACATTCCACCCCCACTGACCTTTACTGTTCTTTCATTCTGGCAACAAATATTTCTTGAGTTCCTGTAGTGTACCTCCCTCCTTCCTACTTCAGGGCCTTCACACCTGTTTTTTTCTGCTAGAACACCCATCCCTTCCCTCTTTCCCTGGCTAACTTCTACTCATCCTTCAGTCCCTTTCTCAGGAAAGCTTTCTGTGACCATCACGCCCCCATGTAGGCAGGTCTCCCCTTGTACACTCCCACAGGATGTATATATGCTTTTCTTTCAAATATCATTCACGATTGTACTTAAATCCTGTTGTAACGCTTGCCGTCCTGACTAGCACCTGAACTTCTCAAGAGCAAGCAGGCACTTAGTCTCACTTCCTGCTGTGTACGGAGGGCCTAGCACAGTGTTTAACACTTAACAGTTCCTGAGGAAATATCTGTTGAATGAATAATTGAAAAGAGTAATTGCTACTTCTAACAATGGAAGTTACCAGTAAACAGATGTGAATGAGCAGTTTTTAGGCTTGACCAGCCTTATACAATGCTCTTTAAATAGCAAATTTTTAACTGAGCCAAAAACAAAAAACCAAAAAAAAAAAAAAAAACAGAGAGAGAGAGAATTCTCTTACTGGTCCTGCTACACTGTCTGAAATTCTGTTTCTGCTTCTCCTGGCTAGAAGCCTCTACAAAGAAAAGAATTAAATTAGTAAGTACCATTGAACCTGTGTTCCAAAAGTTACTCTTCTAACAAAGATTCCAAATGAATGCGACACAGGCATGTTTTGACTGGAAGACTTGGATTTAAAAGAAAATATATGTCCTCCCTACACATCATCTCTTCACCACACCCATACCTAAAGGGGAGTCATTTGACAATGCCTATTTATTTTTAAAGTTGGTTTTTGTTTTTTTTTTCTTAGAGTGTTGAGACGTCTGGTTACCCTTATTACTCAGCTGGCAAAAGAACTGTCAAACAAAGGAGTACTTAAAACTCAAGCAGAAAATACTAATGCCGCTGCCAAAAAATTCATGAAAGAGAATGAAAAACTAAGACGGGTATTTAAATTTTCCTTTTAAAAATTTATGTAAATGTTGATATTCCCAAGGGGTGGTATATTATTTTTCATCATCAAAAAAGAGCATTTCATACTTTATAAGCAGAAAATGACCATAAATAGCAATATTCTACAAAATGATTGTCTCAAAAGTATTTTATTATCCTTTAGATGTGTTTGTTCTCACAGTTTCCTTCAATAATAGATTAACGCCATTGGACCTACTTCCTATGGTTCAAGGAGAAAACAGTATTCTGGGAATATGAATTTTAATTCCTTTATTACCATAATTTTACTTTATAACCTAAAGCAAGTAAGTGTCTATGTTTCCATTCCCTTTTCAGTTAAATTATTTTTGTAAGTCCTTTTTTTTTGTTTTTGTTTTTTTGTTTTCTTTTAAATGATGGTTATTTAGTAAGCAGAAGAAAGTAGTTGATGTAGATTGATGACTGCATATATTTAAAATCTTTAATTAGGTGATGCTATTGATAATCCTTCATTGAGAACCTATGCTGTCCTTCCTCTGCCCTTCAGGGAGAGTGTGAATCAGGTATTGATACTTTTCCCATTAAATAAAAAGAAGAACAAATGGAAAAATAAAAGATACAAAATTACTTTGGGTTTTTTTTTCCTTAAGTTTAAAATTTAGGAGTCAGATCTCATAGCTTGAGTGTCTTCAGTTCATATTTTGCTAATTCTGCTTCTTAGAAAAAAGATTCAATGGAATCATTCAGAATCAAAACAGATTTTTCTTGAAGAAAGCATTCCTAAAGTAATGCAATACTATTTCTCTATCATAAATTAATGAAATGCAGTCGGTCATATGTTACACCAAATTATATTTATGTAAAAAGTATTGTAAGTCCAACTGTAAAGAATTTAAATTTTTATCCAAGTCATAAAGCCCAGCCTCTTACAGAAAGAACTATAAGCACCACCTTTTATCAATTACAAATGAGTTAGCTATTACACAGTACAACATAAAGCTTTCTAAAACATATTAAATAAGACAAAACTCATTTCGCAAAATTGGGCTTGGTATTACAGTATCATGGTCTCCTACTCAAATAAAACAAACCCTTGTTTTATTTTTTTATGATGTGCCTTATTTTCACTACAACAAAAGTAAAGCAGGACCTCTTTTCACAGAAACAGAATTCAAAAATGTTTTTTTGGATAGACTGTAGCCAGCATCTTTTAAGGAAACTTTTAGAGAATAAGCACCAGTTATTTTTTACTTAGTTTTGTTCTGTTTTGAAAAGGCATTGAATTCACAGATGTCATGTAAATTTCCCTTTGTAGTAAATATAGGTCTGGGAAATCAAGCTGTTGAGATTTCTGAATTCAAAAGCAAGCAATAAGTCATTTTTGCTTTGCGGGGAGAATGTTTCAGCAACACTGTCAGCCTCATTTTGTACGTTAATATTATTTGCATTATTTTTTATCCTTTGATCTCATTTCACAATGGTGAAAACAAAACAAACCCCGCCAAGCTTTGATTAAGATGGTGGCTAAGCTCAAAGCACCGGGCCTTGTCTCTGTAGACTTGCCATGAGCCTGTCTGGACTTTAACATTATGCCCATTGTGTCAGATTGATGAGTTGTAACTACTAATAGAACACTGCTTTTTTCCTCTCTTTTTTTTTTTTTAAGGTTTTGTTTTTTTTAATTGGGGAATTGGGGGAGGAGAACAGAGCTGGGGAATCGGGGGAAGGGGAACAGACACGTTGCTGTCGTTTTTTTGTTGTTGTTGTTCTTCAGTCTAGTCATGGAGGACGCCGCTTCACTGGCCCATGTTGGTATTATCATTGCTCTCTTCCCGGGTGAGGCAGACCAGTCGCCGGCCTCTGCATGGCGGCTCACAGCGGCTCTTGGCAGTTCACACCGGCTGCCAGCTGCTCACGCTGGCGGCCAGCCACACACGGTAGCTTATGGCAGCCCACTGCAGTAGGGGCTGCAGCCTACACCATCGCCGGAGACTCACGGCAGCCCATCTCCAGGTCGAGCTGTTGTTCACCATCCTAGCTGTAGAGGGCAGTGTCAGTGGCCCTCATATGGGATCCAAACTGGGGCCCTGCTGCTCAGAGCTGGCGTCCCAAGCCAGCTCTCAACCAATGCGCCACTCAGCCAGCCCTTCCTCTCATTTTTTAGTTGTTTTCCTCCTACTCTTCAGCTCCAAGAAAAGAGAAAGTGTTTTTATAAAGTTTGGTACTATTATTTTTCTCATATGCATCATAATTAATGTACTTAAATTACTCTTGTCCTTCATAAAAAAACACCTTCATCAAAACCTGTATGGAATTTTTCCATGGGAATTGTTTTCAGAACCAGTTACCATTGCAAGGAAATTTATTTCATGACTACGGATTCTTTGATCCTGTGCAATTTCTCTTGTTATGTTTTCCTTCCATTTGGTTCCATGCTGTCCTGGTTCCCTGCTTCCTGCATACCTAGGACCCACTTGGTGGCCCTATGTCATCAGCGGTGCAGAGAGATGCTGGGCTAAAGCCAGTACACAGTGGGGAGAAAGAGTGAGCTGGACATAAATACTGTCAGTGCCCAAAGTGCAGCTAACAGACCAATAAAGGCCACAGGTCAGAATACCAAAGGTGACTTCTGTTTGAAGATACCTCGTTCATGTAGGTTTTGAAATGCTAGCTAAGGAAGGATAATATTGCTAAAACACCTCTTCATTCTCTATCAGAGACACATTATCTAATGGAAAGTGCATTACATTGAGATCCAAGAGACTTGGGTGCTAGTGCCATTCTACCAGTCATTAGCATTGTGATCTAGGGCAAGTCACCTCATATGTTCTGGGCCTCCAGGTTTAAATAATAGCAAACAGTGTGCCAGGTATCACTTCAAATACTTAACAGAAAAGCATTAACTCTTAATTCTTGCAACACCCCATGAGGTTGATACTGTTGTTATCTGCATTTTATACATGAGGAAATGGAGACACAAAAATGTTAAGTGACTTGCTCAAAATCGTTCAGCTACTAAGTGACAAAACTAAGATTTGAATCCAAGCAGTCTGACCCTAGAATCCACACTAATCGTAACCACATTGTTTTGTCCTTGGCTTCTAGGCCATCCTATAACATGACTAGCCGATGGTGCCTGAGACCCCTTTGTGTTCTGATATTCAGTTAATGAAATGAAGTAATTATGAAAGACCAGCTAACTTTTAATTGCTTTAAATAACAGCTTTACTTCTTGCTAGTTTCTTTTCTAGCCACTTAGCAAGGTGGGATACAGTGGGTGGGACAGTGAACACATGTAGTATTGTAGCTGTTAGCTATTGAATTTCAGATTCCAGGGCTCTTGGTGGTTCTCTAGCATCAAGTTACACGTAATAAATTTGGACAAGTTTAGAGGTGCAGTCATGAAAGCTTATTTTCAAGACTGACGCAAATCCAACTTTTCAAGTAAATGGCATAATAATTCAAGCAGTCAGTGTAAACATTCCTGCAATCAATGGTTCCCTTCCAACTTGGGTAATCACGGGAGACCGTGTGAACTGAACTCAGTAAAGTAACAGCTAAGATTGTTTTGAACTTGAGGAGGGCAACACATTTATACAGATTTGGCGAAATTTTTCTTCTTATTTCTGCTCTTTAAATTTTTTTTAATTTTAATTTTGAAGGTATAAGGCTCCTTCAGTTGTAGTGTGTACTTTTGTTCTCTTATCTTCTAAATTACATTAGTAAAGGAACCACCCTGAAGTAGAAATTCTTTTCTATGTCAGCCTGTTTAAAATTGTCCTGTGTTGCTGTTTTCTCCTGACTGTATCAAGTTGCTGCACTTTAGTCAAATCACCCATACCAGTGTGTACATATTTTATTTTTCAAATGTTAACTTGCCTTTCTTGGTAACTTAAATTCCTTAAAATTTCTTTAAGATGTCTACCTCTTAATTCTATTAACAATGATGGTTTCTATTCAGACCTACATATTATGAAATTTTTATTCCATGCTGTTTTTCTTTCAGTCACATATTTTACTATTTAGGTTTTAATTTTTCTTGCCTAGAAAGGATAAGCTAGAAACATAAAATAAACATTTTCAAAGCCAGAATAGATTTTAAAATATGAAGATCATTGTAAAGGATTAATGAAATAAAAGTAATTTGGAAACTAGTCAGAGAAACTTAGAATTTTCCAAGCATAGGGATGGCCCTTTGATTTTCCACTTCCCACCTCCACCCTCACAACATTATATTCATCTGTATAAAAATAGTCTGAATAGACAACTCTGCAACTGGAACATGATGGTTTTCCAATTAATATCCTCAGAACTGTTTTTTCCTTAGATTTGCATTACACTCTTAATTAAGGGAAAGACATTCACATTATTTACCTAAATACTTTTGAAAATATAATTTTAATCATAGCTCAACCAGAAGCTCTTGTCATTTTTATTTCAGAGATTTCAACCATTGTAAGGAGAAATCTTTTTTGTGTGTTTGCCAAATATCAGGTTTCTGTTAGCAAAAGTACATTGTAGAAAATTATAAAATACTAGAAAGACAAAGGATAAAGACTAATAATTTTAAATACGTTACTCAGCCCATTTCCTGGAAGAATGTCTGGCTATTGCAATCTAAGCTTACTTCTTCTATAACTCTCTTTTCTTATAGCTCTTGAAAAGCTATAACAAGGAAGAGGAATACATTTTGGAAGCAGAAAATAAAAAACTGGTAGAAGACCAGGAAAACCTGAAATCTGAATTAAAGAAGACTTCAGATGGTAAAGTTGGGTGCATGTGCCAAAGTAGAAAGGGTGATATCTTATGCTGTTACACTTCACTGTTTTGCCTAAAACAAAAATAATGGCTTTCTGTTCTTCTGGCTAAAATACCAAGAGTGACCTATTTATAAATTCCTGCTCAAATATGAAGTTAAAACATTGTTTCGGCCAAGAAAAACATGCTCTGTTATACAGGAAAACATGTAGGTGTTTCAGATCTGTATTGTAAATACAGATGTTCCTGCCTTAGCAAAAGCGCTATGTTCCTGAAGAGTTGCTTGTAAACACATTTTTGGAAACTAAATCACATTTTTCCATCATAGTATATTGCTTCTTTGAAAGAAGGCATCACAGGGAGACAATTTTGGTTACAAGAAAATATATTGCTAATCTCCAGCCCTAATATGTCTTACCTGCCAGATATAAGGAGAGCATTCCTTGAAAGAGATGGATAGACATAGCATAAGAACAATCTAGGATGTCAACTGAGCACTGGAATGGCACATTCCAAAATACATTGCACAGAGGACTTGGAGTAGAGCATCCTAACTTCGTTTCCCTGGAGGCAGCTATTCTACATTTTTTGTTTTTTGAAATAGTTCTGCTAGTATGTTCTTCTTCTTAGCTAAATAACAACTTATTATTCCTGCAGCTGCATAGCACAGAAAAGTAGATAACCCAAGTCCAACGTCATCCCAGGGAACTGTTAAAGTTTATGGTTTGACCCCAGACAACATTTTCTGCGTGTAACAAGATATTTCTTGTCCAGATACTGGGAAACCTCTCAGCTCATCAGTTAAGATAATGATCAATGCAAAGACCTTTAATTTCAAGTCTCTTCCACTGCTTGAATGTTGGAGGTACATTGGAGAATGTTCAGTGACTGAATCTAGGACCTACTTTTTATGCCTTTTGTAAACTTTAATTTTTTTAAATTGGCCTCGGTATAATTGAAGTTCTCTGTAATATAACTTACAAATTGATAATCTATTTACATTGTTTGGATAGTTTACTTCATCAAGATATATTTGAATTTGAGCTGGAAAGTCTGAAGATAAAAGTTAATTCTATTTAAAAAAACAAGAATAGGATATTTTATGTGATATAAAATTTTTTAGTAACTTTTCTACTTATTTAATGTGAAAAAAAGAAAATCAGAAAATAGTTTAGAGGCAGTAAGTTAAAAACTAATTCATTCTTCTAGACAAAGTGGCAGGTGTAGTACAGCCCAAAATTCAAAATCTTGTGGATACTGTTGGCTTTTCTGCAATTCCAAAAGATTTGGAACATGATCAAGAAGTTTTAATATTTGTATGAAGATACATTTAGTAATCATCTGCCCTCTATGTTAGACATTTTACAAGAGAAAGTCTTTTTTTGCCCAATACAAAATATTGCTGCTAATCCTTCTGAAGAATGCAAGGGACTATTTTCAAATTACCTTTAATTATTTTTTTAAAATTGTTTCAAAATCTTGCTTTCTTTTTTTCACATCTGCCAAGGATCCTTTTTCTTATGTTGTAGGCAGGGTGGCACAAAAATAAAAGACAGAATATGTTAATGTGCCATGCTATACTTCTCCGCCTGGCAGGTTTAGTTTCTTCCACCTTTTCCTTTCAAAACTCCATCTTTGAGAAATTTTGAGCCTTAACTTCACAAGTCTGAGCTATAACTCTAAACTCCTCATTTTAGAGTAACATAAAGAAACTTAATATTCCTTTAAGAGACAATTTAGATGTTTAGAGAAAATAAACTCTTTGATAATATAGGCATTGTGTTCGTAATCTGATAACAAGAGAATACCAGCTTCTGTCTTCTGTGTTTGAAGTGTAGACTGCCAGGCTACTTTCAGAGTGAATCAGTGTTGGGATAGAAGCAGATTTTACCTGTTTGAGTATGTCCTGTTTGGTTCCTACAAGGTGTGTAATATTTTATGAACACATTGTATTTACCCCAAGTTATTTAGATAACATTATTAATGACCTTGAGAAGATCAAAGTTCCATTTCTAAAGGGCGTGTGTGTGTGTATGTGTGTGTGTGTGTGTGTGTGTGTGTGTGTACTCATATTCATTAAGGCAAGAACTAAGAAATTACATAAGCTAATAGTACAAGATTTGGATTAATTTAGCAGCAAAATGCTTTGTACATAGTACCATTCAAAAATATTAACTGATTTCTAAAGATTCAGGGTGTTAAGGCCGACAGTGCTTAAGAAATGTTTCAGAAAGTTCTTTTGTATTTGAAAATTGAGTAGAAAAGCAGTGTGGTTTATTTTTTAATAGGGGTGAATCGAGTATTTTCAATACAACTTGTTTTACCCTTGCTGTTTCTTTAAGTGAAAGATTTCCTCCAAAGTGTATTAGTAGAAATAAAGCATAAATACAACTGTTTTTCAAGCAGGTTAGCCCCAAACTAGAAAAGTGGTATTCTGAAGGCAGGTATTAAGAACATTGTATCAGTAGTGCCAAACTCTCCATCAGTTTTTAACCACCAACTTTTGACCAGATTTAGTAAATTCCCTGTGTGTCAGGGTATTAACATGACCCTCGTGATCCAGGAGAGTGTGCATGTCCCCAAGCACCTAATTTACACTCAGGCACTAACTTAGGTGTAAAAACCTGATCTGTCGTTTTTAATGATCATTTTAACAATAAATCTGATGTCCCAGCATGTGGACTAATTGGGAAATGGCACTACCATGAAAAAATGAGAACTTAAGCTTTGAAGATTTACAGAACTCACACACTTTCATAATAAAAATAGATCCTGTATGTAATGGAAAACCTGACACCCAAGAAGATTGGCTTCAAAGGGCTCTTTCAGGATAGCAGCTGTATTTTTTCTTATAAATGCTACTGACTCGATATTATTCTTATAACTGGAGGAAATCTGTACCATGTGATCATTGCGTGTATCCAGGCAGTGGTAAAGGTAGATCGGATTTTAAAAGTGATGGAACTGTCTGTGGCAGTGTCTACTCCTCATTCTTTAGGAGCAGGAATATCCCCATGATGTGCTGCATTAAACAAGTTCTCAGGACTGCATCTTCCAGTAGCGCTTGAGCACTAGTGTGTTTCTCCTACATAAAGGGAAAGAAAAAGAAGAAAAGTTGGGCAAATTCCTTGACCCCACCTTTATTCTGTCTGTCTTCCTCCCTCTCTTCCTTCCCCTCCTTTCTTTCCTGTCCTTCTCTTTCGTCCTTCCCTCCCTCCCTTCATTCTTCTTCCTTTTATTCTGTGTATTTCGGTCAAAAATTTTTTAAATAACTTTTCAAACAATTCATTTATTGCAAGACTATTTAACATGGAACTTAATTAAAACTGTTCTAAAAAGCATTTCAGTTAAGGATAAAGCAAATTTTTAATGTTTCCTAAACAAAGTGTATACAAACAACAGAAACCGAATGTAAAGGCCTATTCTGTACACCTAAGTATTGACAGCTATGACAAGGCCCTTCGATTTGGAACAGGAAACAGAACCTTCTAGTCCTTTTTAATCTTCTAGTTGATTATTCAACTCTCCTCCTGGATAAATACTTCCATATCACCATAGCTTACCTTGAAAAGAGCTAACATTTCCTTTTACAGACGAACTTCACTACCCTTGAAGATTTTAGAGCAAAAAGGGAATAAAGTCATCATCCTCTAATTCTAGTGATAAGTCATGCGAACATAGGGACCCCCGAGTGAAAACAGTTGGAGTGCTTTTCAGGAGAAATTGAAGATCAAAACAAGAGAAAAAATTACAGGGGAATTACTGTTCTATATACCAGTAACCTCAGATTCCTGCCTCCTGAGTCTTAAGTCTTAAACAAGAATAAGACATGAGCTTTTTATACAAATGTAAAACTGGGTTTCCAGTTCCTTGCAAAGGAACTATTTGAGCCATCTCTCTATCTAAAAATAAATTCTCAAAGTCCAACCTAAGCATGGTTTACAATTGTAATTCTTATGGCTGTGAACTGAATGATCTTTAACTTGCAGTTACATCAAAGCCACCATCTTACTATAAAATTGTTAATGCTTTTAAAAATTTGGTAGTTTTGGTCATAATATATTTTTGCTTTATTACCTTTTAAGGAGTTTTTATGTCTTGAATAAGAAAAAACATGATTTTCCTCCTCTGTTTACATATCTGGACGTTTCTGCTTCTTTGACAGCTACTTTCTTTTATTAACTGAAGAAAAAACCGTATTTAAAAAGAATAGTATGGTTTGTTTGATGGATGTGACAGTAGGCTATATGTAACGAATAGCATATTAATTACTTAAAGCAAATAAAATATATGACCCATCCTTTTAGTTGGGGTTCAGATCTTTGGTTTTTGTTTTTGTTTTTTAATAAATAATGTATTACCATTTATTAGTTTTTATTACCTCCACATGTGGTTGATGTTATTGTCAAACCAGAAAAAGGGAGCTTGCTTGCTGTAAGACCACGTTAATGGTCCTAATATATATGATAATATTGTTTCCTGGTTGGCCTTCTGTTATGTTCCCATTTAGTTGTGCTGCTTTCCTTTTCAGTGAGCTTTGTATCCACTCCCAGGGCCTATACATGTAAAATAAACCATTTGTGTCCCTCAGTCACCAGGAGGCATAGCTGTGGGGAACATAGTAACGTAAGACAGAAATTCAAGAATACTTTAAATATCATCAACAATACCAGCAAGCATAACTGATGCTAGGTACCCTGAGAAAAAGCTTTTGTAGTCTCTCCAGAGGGTCATTAAAGCAAGAGAAAACAGTCTCTTCCCTAAAGAACTTACAGTCCAGATGGGTGCATCCAACATATATACATAAAATGTGATCATTTCCTCCCCTGTGTGATACTTGCGTTTGTCTACCAAAACTATGGAGTGGAGAGTGCTACCCTGTTTCCCCGAAAATAAGACCTAGTTGGAAAATAAGCCATAGCATGATTTTTGGTGCCAAAATATGGCACCTTGGCCTACTGAATATTTTAAGCTGAAAGGAGTTTGTGGAAAAGGCACCCTTCTC